TTACGTATGGCCATATCCGCTGTTCAACTTCCTTCTTACTATCTCTAGAAACAAAATGCTGCATCATAAGAGCTTCTTCTTCTGCCTAGATGTAAAATCAATGATAATAACTGAGTGTTATCAACATAAAATGATAATAACAAGTTAGCTCTCGTAGTTTAATGGTAAAGCAAATGCAAAAAGAAAGGTTTTCTCTAAACTCCAACTAAGTTCGTCACACAGCTGAAATTAGTCTAAGATGAAAAAAATGAAGGGTCAATTGTATTGTTTCCACCCACAATAAGTTCCTAATTGCCGTAGATAAGGCATGCTAGTTAAAAGTCAGTATATCACTGTAGAAAATAAAAGTAACCTAATTTAAGGAAAAAAGGATCAGATAAATGAAAAGGAATGTAAATTCTTTAGCTTTGTTTTATTCCTAGCTAGTAATAAAGTTTTTGTTTACTATGTTCAAAAAAAATCTCATCTTAGACTTATGACTGGGAGGTGAGTAGGGTGATAGCTTTCTTCAATCTGCTGGGAACTTTTGGAGGTTTACAAGAAGGGGTTGACAGATTATGGTGGAATGGACACAGCAGTGGTGCTTACAAAGTGAATGCAGCTTACAAACATATGAACCAAGCCAATCATCAAATGGTAGAATGGCCTTGGAAGCACATTTTGAAGGCTAAGATACCATTAATGTTTCATGTTTTGTCTTGGCTTTTGGTAAGAGAAGCAATTCCTACATAAGATAACTTGATGAAAGAGGGATTACTATCTGTCCCAGATGCTGCCTATGTGGGGAAACTACAGAGACAGTTAATCATCTTTTCCTCCACTGCAGAATAACTGGTCAAATATGGAAGATGTTCCTGCACTCAGAAGTATCACATGGATAATGCCTGGAAAGATTTCTAAAACTCAAGAAAGTTGGGAACAAGCGGGTTTGGAGGTCAGAGATAGAGGAAGATGGTGAATCATTCCAGCTTGTGTAAGGTGGACAATATGGAAGGAGAGGAATTCCAGATGTTTTGAAAATAGGAGCAACTCTATCCAACAAATGAAGATGAATTATATTTTTCTCTTTAGTTTTTAGTGTAGACAGTCTCACTCTGTAGAAACTGTTGAAATTCTAGATGTATTAAACTCCCTATAAAAGACTAGAATAGCTCCAGTTTGTTAAGAGTCTTTTCATGTAAATATGGTGCAAGTACAACCAATGTACTGAATGATCTTAATCATAGATAGAAATACACAAAGTTACCAATTTCAAAAAAAAATATCATCTTGAAATAACAAAGAAAATACTTGATACTTTGTTTAATTTTAATCATTCCACATGCTGACCGGGAAGTTCTTCAGAAATGGGATTATCATAGTAATTTGATAAACCAAAGGATTCAAGACAGTAAGATTTACCCATAGATTACAACAACATACCCAGTGTGATCCCATATATTAAGGTCAGTAAATCAAGACTGGAATTCCAATTATTGTTGCAAATAAATTATTTCCAACTTTAAGCCCTAGCTTATTTTAGCTCACACTTTTACAGCTCTTTTGCTTACCTCGAGCATCCCACTACAATCCTCACATTCATTTTTAGTAATATTTACAAATTGAAAAACATAGTTCAACACTACTTTTATTGCAATCACATTAGCAGTTCAAGAAAACCATCTGACATCAAATAACATGAATGTTTCGCAACTTAAACCAAAAATCAGTGAAGAACCTGAATAAGGCGAGCCAACTCTTCATCTGACATAGCCAAATTTTCTAACTTCTCTTTCTCCTCGGCTACTATTTCCTCCTCGACTCCATCAATTGATACCAACCGAAGCTTATCCGATATTAAAGTGAGATCAGACTCGTCGGATACAATTTGATCATCTCTCCCCAGTATCTTCTCATCAATCCAATTTTAACAAATCAAATACTCATATTCACAATCATTTCATTTTCAACAAATCAAATACTCAATTTCACTAGCATATTCATGCAAACACAAACCATATGGACACATTCATCTTAATGCACCTCTTAAATTCAATTTTTTTATCAAGTTTATCAAATGAACATCTTGCGATCAGAATAGTAAATGCTACAATATTATCATCTCTCCTCTGAATATCTTCCCATATCCATTTTTATAAATAACAAACTACAACTTTAAATACATACTGCTACACAAGAATCGTGATAAGAACTATTAATATAATCTGATTATTGTTCCTCCCAACAGCTTCTCATCACTTTCAGTTCTAGCAAATCAGACACTTAAAAACACATAACATGAAGAGATCACGATTGTTCACTGGTATCTTCTTCAAAGTACAATTTACAAGGCTAAAATTCACAAGCAAATGCAAAATATACGGACATCATATAAAACAGAATTCAGCACATTTTATACCTTTTGTTGATCGGGAGGAACGGAAGTGAGAGAGAAGAGCTGGTACTTGAGGACCTGGAAAAACGAATAGATAAGAGAAAAAGGTTTGTAAATGAAACGGAAGATGGAATTGAAGAAGATGAAGTGAGAAGAAGAAGAAGAGGACTTCGAAGCCATCATCAGTATCGTAATCGACGTCGAATATGGAGTCGTTGTGACTAACGGCGAGTCTCCGAGCAACCATTATTTTGCTACTGCTTCAATTTGCTTCGTTTCTAGGTTTTGGAATTCGATTCCTTTCTTAATATATGGACGTTTCGACCATTTTTATCTTCATAATCATGATTCTCCCTCTTATACACCGTCTTAACTAATTGTTCACTAATCAATGTTATTTAAGTAAGTATTTATATTTACTTCGTTTATCTACTATTGTATATTAGAATATTTAATAATATTTGTCCACATTTATGAAACTAATAAATAGTTTTAAGGTTAGCCTAATATATCTTTATAAATAATTATAAAAAAAATTTAGTATATTTTTTCAAAATATATTTATAAGAATGATATATTAAAATAATTTTTTTATTTATATTTTTTTTAAATTGTGTAAAGTTAGTGTTAGATAATATAATACTCCTTTCCATTCCCTCCGTGGAGCATTTTTTATTTTACACAATATTAAAAAATTATTAATATATTAATCAATTTTACTGTTTTGATACTTTTGAGTGTCAATGCACATAAAAATAAGTTATAAAAATATCCTCTATGTTTAATTATGATTATTCACAATCAACTTTGCAGATTTTTTAAGAAATTATAAATAGAAGGATAATTTTACTATATCATTCATTGATTATAATAAATATAATGTCTTAAAAATGTAATAGGAAAATAATTAGAATCAGTGATAAGATTAAATTAAGAAATAAGTGCAAAATTTTTATTGAATTTTATAAAATGGACAAGTATTATTTGACACTCAATAATAATATAGTGAATAACTATTGTTGGACAGAATTGAAAATTTAATTATTAATTACAAACATAAAGTGGAAAAATATTTTTTAAAAATCTGGTTTAGTAAGTAACCGAATAATACCAAACAACTCTTTTTAATAAAATGTTCGTATAATATTTGATATAGCGGAAAAAAATGACACCAAAAATATCATAAATAATACTATCTAAGAACTAGCTTTTTTAATAATATAAAAAATAAAATGGAGGTAACTAATTATAACTAGAATCATTTAGTTCTAGGTGTTTAGATATTTAGGTTGAGTAGATCAATTAAATCTAGCTTACTTTAGAATTAGATGAATAAAGTCATATCGATTTTTTTATAATAATATAATCAATTCAATTAAATTTTAATACAATTTAATGGAACCCAACAGGCTATTAATTAAGATATATAAATTTGTGCTATTTGAAGTTTAAATAAATTGTTTTCGAAAATTCAACCTTCGTGTAAAAAAATAAAAATCATTAGACAGAGAGACAAATGTACCTAGTAAACAAGGGAAACAATTAAAAATAATTAGAAGGGAATAAAATTTACCAACAATCATATATCAATTATAAGCCTAAATAAATAATTGAAAAAGTTCAGATGTAATTCTGTAGGACTTCAATTCAGTAATTATTTATTAAAATGTATTAATTCAAGTAATTTTTTCATTTAAAATATTATTCTTTTGATCTATTTATCCTTAATAAAAATAGATGTGTCAAATAATAGTTATTTTAAATAATTAAGATATAATTATATTTGTTCTATTTCTTCCTTGCTAAAAATAATTATTCAGGGAAGTAATAAAAATTGATGAATTAACAAGAAAAACATAAATGAATAGTACGTACACTGTTACACATAATAAGTTTTTAGGAATAGCAAACACAATCATATTAGTTTTATATAGTTACAGTTTTGATACTTGCGCTCCATAACAAACATATGACATCCGATTTGTATAAATTACAGATATTTGATTCGGATGTATCTAATTTGTATAAAATCGCAGCGATTATATATGTATATTGATTAGATAATTGTATATGTTTAAGAACTATGTATATGTATCAATGATTGTGTTTGTATATTTGCATACAATTTAATCGACTTAAAATTAAACATTTGTAATTGTATATCAAATATCTCTCTCACTTTATACAAACACAAATCATACATTGTATGTTGTATAATTTGTGTTTGTGTGAAGCGAGAAAGAGAGAATGACAAAAGATAACTGAGCAAATGAAGATTTGTACTTGTATAATTACAAGTGTATAAGATGAAGATACATGTATTTACATTTGTATATACAGTTTTCTCTTACTTTATACAAATATAAACACAACTCATTCATTTGTATTTACGTATAAAGTGAGAGAGGCGAGCCAAAGAGTGGTGAGCGAGATTTCGAGGAGACAGACAATGACAAAAAGTTTGTTGCGAATTGAAATTAAATGAAACTATGGTTATAATATTTATTTTTGAATTAATAATTTACTATAATGCACAATTATCCTTTCCCATAATGTGATTACCTTAGATTAACTAACGTTCATTACAACTATGACTTAGGACTGTTCAAAATCAAACTGAAATTGATAATCCAATTCGAAAAAAAAATTATTGGTTTAACGGTAATGGGTTATTAGTTTAGCGGTTATGATAAAAAGAGAAAATATTTATTTATCGAAGAGAAATTAATATTGTAAATCATTAAAGATGGTAAATAAATAAGATCAGTTATCTCTTATTTATCGCATCTCCTACCAAACTATCCCTAAACATCAATGGTTCACTGCAGATATTACATAAATCTCTTCTTTTCAGTGTATATATACTACACGTACTAAAAACAAGAAAGAAGATATTTATTTCCACAAACCACTAACAAAATTATTTGTCATAACGACATGATCAAAGCAAACCAACGATAAAACCAAAGTGAAAAAAGAAGATAGTACAAAAATAGAGAAAAAAAAGAAACATTCAACTTTGTATATAACTTAACTAAATTCCAATTTCTTTTATGTTTTACCCGTCCCATTTTTTTTTGTCCATTTCTCAATTTCTCCATCCCCTGTATTTATAAAAGAGAAGGGGAAAAATAAGTGTCTCTTCAGAAAACAAAAAAAAAATAAAAAAAATGGCAAAGTTTAAGCGGACAGACACCAACAGAAGCTTAGAAACTTTGTTGGACTTGGACAAATCTGCACAGTTGAAGAAGATAAATGGTAAAAATTTGTCGAAGCAGCCAACGCGCAAGCTAATTCCAGGACATGGTCTTGAGTTTACTAATCTGTCATATAGTGTTACCAAGAAAGTGAAAAAAGATGGTGTTTGGATCAACAGAGAAGCTTATCTTCTTAATGATATATCAGGACAAGCTTTGCGAGGCGAAATCATGGCCATCATGGGGCCTAGTGGTGCTGGAAAGTCTACTTTTCTTGATGCCATTGCTGGACGAATTGCTCGTGGTAGTCTTGAAGGAAGTGTTAGAATTGAAGGCAAACCAGTTAAGTCTCTCTATATGTATCATCATGTAATGTGATTAAAACATAGTTATGATTTAGTAAAGGTTATAGTTATTATGATATGCAGGTGACCACAAGTTATATGAAGATGATATCTTCCTATGTAATGCAAGATGATCAGCTCTTTCCTATGTTGACAGTTCACGAGACGTTCATGTTTGCAGCTGAAGTCAGGCTTCCACCATCAATATCTAGAGCAGAGAAGAAGAAAAGAGTTCATGAACTTCTCGAGCAATTAGGCTTAACGGTATGTCAAGACTCAAGGATTATGAACGGTTACTTTGTGGTTATTTATAAGGTAACTTGATAGTGTAAAATTTATATGTGCCTAATGTAGAGTGCAACACACACGTACATAGGAGATGAAGGAAGAAGAGGAGTGTCAGGGGGAGAACGTCGGAGAGTGTCAATAGGGATTGACATAATCCATAAGCCATCTCTGCTGTTTCTCGATGAGCCTACATCTGGTCTTGATTCTACAAGTGCTCATAGTGTTGTTGAAAAAGTGAAAGACATAGCTAAAAGTGGTAGTATAGTACTCATGACCATCCATCAGCCTTCTTTCAGAATCCAAATGCTCCTCGATCGCATCACAGTCCTTGCAAGGTACTTTTTAATTCTATCCCTCCTTAATCGACTTTAGGTTCCTATGTTCAAGCGTTTAAGTACACATTGCCATGTCGAAAGAATAATTGTATTCCTCCGTTTCAATTTGTATGTCAATTCTTTCTATAATCTGTTTAAAGACGAACGACAACTTCTTATAACCATAGAAATGATGTACATGCTACATGTTTTTAGGGCACTTATGGTGTGATAAAAATCCTTCTTTCGTTCTTCCTCAAACTCCGTACCTAATCAAACACCGCCATATAAGCAAGGTTGTTCTGTGAATGCAGGGGAAGGCTTGTATATTTGGGAAGTCCTACAGGAGTAGCAGCTTTTCTAGCTGGTTTTGCAAGACCAGTTCCAGATGGCGAAAATAGCTTAGAGTACCTGTTAGATGTGATCAAAGAGTATGATGAATCAACTGTTGGACTTGATCCTCTTGTCTTGTATCAAAGGGATGGCATCAAACCTGATCAAGCAGCTAAAACCCCTCTCCGAAAACCACCAAAAACACCAAGAGCTCCTCGAACTCCTTATGCAAAGTCACCCTGGACCAAACATATTAGCCTCCGAAGCTCTCATTTTTCTGTTGGAAACATGAATTCCCAACGAGATCCCAAGGATCAGTCTGAATCTAATGTTAATAGTTTCGGTTATGATGATGAGGATGATGATGAGGATTTTGATAACTCATTGGAACGTAAGGTTCCTCAAACGCCTATGAGTATGCAGAGTGGGATTCATCCACGTTTGGCTTCACATTTCTACAAAGATTTCTCCGTTTGGCTATACAATGGCGTTAAAGGGACTCCTCTTCGTCCACCAACATGGAACCATGGAGGACGAACACAAATTTCTGGTGCAAAATCGAGCATGTCTTCAGGTCATCCATTCCCAATGTCTCAACAAACACCTTCACGTGTTAAAACTCCGGTAGTATCAGCAATTTTCACTCCGGTTCGAGAAGGAATAGAGTACTCATCCTATAATCCATCATACGAAGAAGTATTTGAAATCGAAGAAGTACTCGATGAACCAGTTCACAGGCACAAATTCGCAAATCCCTGGCTTAGAGAAGTTATAGTCCTCTGTTGGCGTACCACATTGAATGTAATTCGTACTCCTGAACTCTTCCTATCTCGTGAAATCGTCTTAACAGTCATGGGACTAGTCCTTTCTTCTTTCTTCCGAAGACTAAATCATTTCGACTTCACAACAATCAACCACCTCCTCAACTTCTACATCTTCACAATTTGCCTAGTCTTTTTCTCCTCGAACGATGCAGTCCCAACGTTCATCCAAGAACGATTCATCTTCATTCGCGAGACATCTCACAACGCTTATAGATCATCTTCTTATGTCATTTCCTCCCTCATAGTATACCTCCCCTTTTTCGCGATCCAAGCCTTCACATTCGCTGCCATAACCCAATACATTCTTAGAATCAACAGCAGCATTTTAAGCTTCTGGATAATCCTCTATTCCTCACTCATAACTAGCAATGCTTATGTGATGTTAGTAAGTGCACTAGTCCCAAGTTACATCACGGGGTACGCGATCGTTATATCTACAACAGCTCTATTCTTCCTAACATGTGGATTTTTCTTGAAGAGGACTCAAATTCCTTTGGTTTGGAGATGGTTACATTACATATCAGCAATCAAATATCCATTTGAAGCATTGTTGATTAATGAATTTAAAGGGACAAAAAATTGTTACAATGGTGACCTAGCTGATCTTTCACCTGGTCCTTTAGGTGACGTGAAGATTAGTCAATTGCATAAGGATTCAATTGATTTATCACAAAATTGCACATTGATTGGAGAAGATGTTTTGTTCTCTATGGACATATCAAAGGAGAATATTTGGTTGGATATTGCCATCTTGTTGGCTTGGGGAGTTCTTTATCGTCTTTTCTTTTATGTTGTTCTTAGATTTTACTCAAAGAATGAAAGAAAATGATGTATGTTCTTTGATTAAAAGTTTGGTTAACAATCAAACATTTGTATTATAAATATTTTTTTCACCTTCAAACACAAGAGTTTTGTATGAATTCATGACTCATTGCTTAAAGGGTGCAATAATCATGATAAATTCCATTTTGGGTGTAAACAATGCAATGAAAAAGTTATGCTACTCTGCATATGTTTTATTTTATATGACACAATTCTTTATCGATAAAATAATATCATTATAGTAATAGTTTGTGTAGTATTGGAGCAGGTCATCAACTCTACACAAATACATTAATACAAATAATAAGTTGTATTTAACTAATAGAGCAAGCTATATAATATCCATTGCCCTTAATTAGGATTACTAGCTAAATTAGGAGCAATTTTCTATCATTAAAATTTTTTCAAAAATATCCTCTCGAATACATCCCTTCCTCTCTGGCTAATAGTACATGTCTATCCCCTCTCAGAGACATTCCTCTCCTCTCAAATACATCCTTTCCCTATATATCCGAATGTCTATCCCTTCTCTAATACATCCTTCCTCTATGTATCTAGATGTCTGTTAATGTATATGTAAGTCCAACATGTATTCGGAATCTATAAATTTTAGAAAATTCTCGTAATTTGAAAAACAGTATAAACATAATGTAATTAGTTTTAACACTATAAAACTTACGTAAATTTTATTTGTATATATGGGTTATTTAAAATAACGTTAATAAATAGTCAATGACTTGATGGAATAGTTATCACTCCATCACAATCCTTTGACAGGTTCAGCTGAAAGTTCTGCTGAACCTCCCCTTAAGTTTTTCTTCATATTAAATATGGTGAATGACAGACTTGTGACACCTTAATTTGGCCCATAGGCACTAGAAAGAAGTCTGGTTTCTTGTTTAAAAAATGCAAAAGGAAAAAACAAAGTAAGAACAGGCAGGACCAATTAGTCATTAATCAATATATAGACGTGGATCTCGTTTGGTTGAGTGTATAAAAATAATATTAAATAAATATTTTTTAATAATATTTGCGTTGATAATACTTATGCATTGTTCGATTTGATATATTAAAAATATTTATTTTAAAAAAATATCTTTCACCACAAAGGTGGAAAAGATGTAAAAAGGTTATAAGGGATAATTGAATTTTTATTCAGGCTAATATTTGTATTTAAATTTCTTTGCATTACTAATACTTAAAAATCTATAGAGCTAATACACACATTAATAAACAATAAAGTGACTGCATTAGTTATATTGCATCAAAAAGTGTATATCAAACAACATATTGCTAATAAATACATGTATTATATTTTATTAATGCACTCTACCAAACGAAGTTCTAACTGATTAGTACACATTTTGGTTACGTAGACAAAATATTAATTATATATGACATTGCTGATTAGGACGTCCAAGGATATTCAAACAAGTTGTTTCACCAGAACTCTGCAACCTTTTTTAATAGAATATTGAGTATTCTGCACTTAATATTTATCTTCTTATTTTCCAAAATGAATTGATTTTTAGAAAACATACTTGAGGTCTTCTCACTTGGTCCCTCCCAAGACGTTTAGTAAATTGAGTCGATCTTTATTTGTTCTTGTTCTACACGATTCCCCCTATTTCAATTGATGTGACATCTTTTTCTTTTCAGTCTATTTCAATTAAATGTCATTTTTTTATAATTTGAAATAACAAACTTAACTACAGAAGTTTTTTTTTTCTTTCTTTTAAGTTTTGTGTAAGCCAAACAATTATTACCTGAGGGATATTACTTAAAAGAGCTAGCAAATAATTAATACCCTAGCATTTTACCCTCCAAATTTAATTTTAGGTTCATGTAATTACAAGTTATTAAGTGGTTGTTAATTAGTACATTTAGAGCTAGTTTGGTAGGATGTATTGGTTATGATATTATTTAATCTTTTGTTTGATAAGATTTTGAGAAATATTTCCACAATAACTAAATTCCACATATTGCATGTAGCTTTGTATTCTTTTCCCTTTCCCCACTGGAATAAAAATAAGCAAAAGTTTGGAAGAATAACAATTAAAAAATAAATTAATTAAAGAAAAAGAATCAAAGTTGTTAACTAAAGAGACCTAGTGACTAATGTGTTGGAATTAAAACTTACTAATGGTAGAAGTGATTCACACTAATTTAGATTAAAGCTTTCTAAAACAAATTGGAAGTTAATTGTTCTCCTGAATTCTTTACTTAAATATTCACGATTAAAAATTCAGAAAAAAAATACTATAAAGAGAATGCTGATATTTATAAAATTAAATATTTCATGTGAATATTTTTTGAAAATTAATATAACTAATATTTATTTATACCTATACTACCAGAAGATTGAATGCATTTTTGCCTTCTTCTATAATAAAAAACGCACATATATTCTAAAAATTTTAAATTACCCACTCACATCGAGTATTTGCATCAACAATATCAAACTGTAGAAATTAAAATAATCTTCAGTTTTGGAAATAATTAAGCAATAATTCATAAAAATACTCCAACTCAACAAATAGTGCCTTCGTCTTCTATTACTTGTCCATATTACTAAAATATATCCCTCCCAAATTACTTATCAATTTATAAAATTAAGACATAATTAATTTAATTTTGCCCTTAAAATTTAGTTCTTTCGAAAGTATAAAAGTTGTAAAATTCCAAGAAGGTTCCTACCTTACTAATTTGATTGATAAGACAGACAAATACAATGCATTGAAAGGAGTTTAAAATGTAAATGAGTAAAGGCACCCTTTTTACCTATGATTTCTCAAGAGTCATAAAGAGAAAATTAGAAAAATTATGTAAATAGAGAAAGTATTGGCAAAGAAAAATCAGAATATAAATGAGTGATTTTCAGAAAACATACTTGGATTCCTCCCAAGTCCCAAGTCGTTGATCTTTATTTGTTCATGTTCTACACGTATTTCCTTCATTTCAAATTGACGTGACATCTTTTTCTTTTTAATTAAATATCATATTTTTATGATTATATAAGTTTCTTTTTTCTTCGTAGGTATCATATCAAGCCTAACAATATTACATAAATTGAGATTAAAATGAGTTACTCAAGAGCTAGGAAAGATTTAGTACACTCGCATTTTACCCTCCAAATTTAATTTTGGGTATGCCCATATTATTTAGGTTTAGGTCCATCTAATTACAAGTTATTAAGGGATTGTTAATTAGTACATTTATAAGTCGTTTGATAAGATATATTAGTCATGATATTTTTTAATCTTTTGTTCGACAAGATTATGAGAAATATTTCCACAATAACTAATATTCTTCTTAGTGTAAGACTCCATATATTGCATGTAACTTTGTATTCTTTTCCCTGTTTTTCAACCCCTACTGGAATAAAAATAAGCAAAAGTTTGAGAGAATAACAATTTAAAAGTAAATTAACCAACGAGCGTATCTAAGTTGTTAATTAAAGAGACCTAGTGACTAATGTGTTGGAATTATAACTTGTTAATGGTTGAATGATTCACGCTAATCTAGATTAAAGCTTTCTAAAATAAATTGGAAGTTGGCAAATCATATGAAACTTCCTACAGTTTCTCTTGTATTCTTTATTTGGATATTCACAATTAATAATACATAAATTAACAATGAACAAATTCTATAACCAAATGACAAAATCTTCAAATGTTTCACGTAATACATAAACATGGTTCTTAGCATGGCTTCAACGAACAACTATGTCCTCCAACTTTTGGTATGCATAAGTAGACACTTAAACTTATATAAAATTGAACAAATAGACGTATGGGTCCTAAATGACATAATACATGTAAGACGTCATGTAGGACAATTTATACAAGTTTAAAGACCTACTTATGAGCCTAGTAGTGAGGCTTGAACACACAACTTTAAGGAGTTGCAAAACTCCTTAACCACTAGACTAAACTTTTTACTTGTATCAAGAGATATCAATACTTATATATATATTTGTTAAATCGAAATTTAACCTTTACCTACAATGTAATTTTCTAGCGAATGGGTATCGCTTGACACCCCTTTGGTCAAGGTGAACTCGCCCTTACACGAAGCTAAAGGTCACCGTTTTCGATTAACGTCAAGTTAAGAATCAATATATTATGCTTATAAATTTCTAGTATTCATATGATGTAAGAAATCTCTATGATGTAACTATATACATATGATGTAAGAAATTTCTAGTATTTGCGTTTTCTCTCTATATATTGATATTGATGAGAAAACGCAAAATAGTACGTTGTCGTTGTGATTCAATTAAAATATATTTATACATTACCATTATAAATTAAAGACATCATCAAAAGTTGTAGTGGACAATAAAATACATTCTTATTTTCTAAATTAAAAGGTTCAATCAAGTTTGCATCACGGATTTAAGTTGCATTTGATAAGAAGTAAATCAATGGATCCTTAAACCGAACAGAAAAAAAAAACTATAAAGAAGACGCTGACTTAATTCTTTTTTTTTAAAAGAAATTTCAACTATATAATAAAACAAAAATAATAAAGTATCAAAGGAAGACTGACTTACTACTAGTCTTCTTACCCAGGGGAAAGTTTATGTCAAAAATGGACCACGTAAACCTAGTCTTTTTATAAAATTAAATATTATATGTGAATATTTTTTGAAAATTAATATAACTATTATTTATTGATACATATACTACCAGAAGATTGCATGCATTTTTTCCCTTTTTCTATAGTAAAAAATGCACATATATTCTAAAAAATCTAAATTAGCCATTCATATCGAGTATACCTACTTTGCATCAACAATATCAAAATCGATACTTAATAATCAAAATGATCTTCAGTTTTTGGAATAATTAAGCAATAATTCATAAAGAACACTTCAACTCAACAATAATTCCTTCGTCTCATATTACTTGTCCATATTATTAAAAATTATCTCTCCCAAATTACTTATCAATTTACAAAGTTAACATATTAGTTAATTTAAAATTTTCCATTTTACCCTTAAAATTTAGTTCTATTGAAAGTATAAATGTTGTAAAATTCCAAGAAGGTTCCTACGTTACTACTCCCTCCGTCCGCCGGTATTAATTGTCGTAATTTTATTTTTAGAATCGAATTATAAAATTTTTGACTATTTTAAAATGTATTTTTTTCACTATATTAATATGCAAAAAATTATAATTTATAGTACTTTTCATATAGTTTTAAAGTATCTATTTTTTTTTTGTTTAAAATATTAAATTAATGTGATCTAATTTAACTTTGAAAATTAGTAATAATATAATTTTTAACGTCTTTGCTATAAATTTTTGTATAAATTTCTATATAAATAATAATATAATTTTTCGACATGTTTAACTGCCCACTCATTATTACATGTGGTTACACCACTTCTACTTGTAGAGCAAGATTTTCGATATGATGAGTTTAAGTTTTATGCGTAGTCGGCTTAAACAACACTTAAAACAATCAAAATCACTTATTCGATAACCATAGCGAACTTTCTTGGTAATCTGAGGAGTAAACATTTAACTAAATTGCTATCACATGCCAAGTGTGTACAATTTTAATTCTCAAGTAAAATCCCAAAATTCTTGCTCCTTCACTATCTTGGTAGACAAAATATATTTACTGTAAAAGCTTATCCACACTTGATGTTAACTCCAAATCGATGAATTGATGACATATAACTTAAACACCAGAATTAAATAATAAAATATTCCTTGTTATATGGAAAAAGGATCGATGCTTATTCACGTAAAACACAAGCACTGAGCATCAACATTCAACACTATTGCATGGAATATGTAAGTGAACTTCTTCACATTTTCCTCATTAATTTTCTAGCTCATTATTTATAGGGAATACCAGTTATCACGTAATAAAATACTGTAAAATTCATTGTGAGCATCCTGGAAATTGCATGGAACTTTCTTTTTACTAGGTTATTTATGCAACTAAATCACACAATGAATGCAACGCAGCAAATTTCAATATTTACCAGCAGTAAAAAAATAATACTACTATTGTTTTTGAGCAAAGAAATTCAAATGGCTATACACACATCCAAACACAGTGATACCATTATGTCTTTAAGCAATGAAAGGGACAGTTACCTTGGAAAACCTCATAAGAGGCTGCAGTTGGTCTTTAGAGCCATATATTTTGTGGCAGTCTTGAATAAGAAAAGGACTGATAGGAACACATTAGTCCTTTCCCAGTTGGTGTGCGATCCATCCTACATTATCGACATTGAAAGCATCAATAATCATGAGAAACAACTTTTTAATGGCATTAACAAAGAAGCACTTGCCAAGTTGGTTAGAGAGAAAGACTTCAATGGCCTCCTTCAATTTGGAGGAGTGCTACAAGTCGTAGTACTTCTTGGATCGGACCAGAAAGAAGGTATAAGAATGCATGAGAATGAAGTAGAACAAAGGAAGGTGACTTTTGGTTCCAACATTTATGAGAAGCCACCAGCCAAGAGTTTCTTGAGTTTTGTAGTTGAAGGTTTCAATGACACCACCATTATTATCCTTCTGGTATGTGCTGTTTTGTCCCTTGGGTTTGGGATTAAACAGCATGGACCTAAGGAAGGGTGGTATGATGGCGGAAGTATCATCGTTGCAGTTATTCTTGTCCTTGCAGTCTCTTCTATCAGTAACTTCAAACAAAGCAGACAGTTTCTAAAACTTGCGGAAGAAAGCAAGGATATAAAAGTGGAATTAATGAGAGACGGACGTCGCAAGGAAGTATCGATCTTTGATATTGTTGTAGGTGATGTTGTGTGTCTAAAAATTGGCGATAATATTCCAGCAGATGGACTCTTCTTGGATGGCCACTCACTGCAAGTAGATGAGTCCAGCATGACAGGTAAATAGAGACAGACCTAGATATCATTTTCAGTATTATAAACAATAAATATAAAAGAGGAAGACACCAAAAAGTAGTATAAATTATTAAGTTTTGAAACTATATTTTAAAGAACTCAGAATTTTTGAAGTCATTAAATATATACTTTGGATCTACTTCTGCAGGTGAAAGTGACCACGTTCAAATAAACGAGACACAAAACCCATTTTTGGTCTGCGGAACAAAGGTAATGGACGGATATGGACACATGCTTGTCACGTCGGTAGGTGCAAACAATGCATGGGGTCAAATGATGTGCACAATAACAGATCACAAGAATGAACAAACGCCACTGCAAAATCGGTTAAATAAACTTACTAAATATATCGGGAATGTTGGTCTGTTAGTGGCTTTTCTTGTTCTAGTCACCTTAATGATCCGTTACTTCATGGGACATACTGAAAATGAAAGTGGACAGAAGGAGTTTGTAGGTAGCAAAACCAAAGCAGATGATATAATGAATTCCTTGATTCGTATAATTGCGGCTGCCGTAACCATCATAGTGGTTGCAATTCCAGAAGGTTTGCCATTGGCTGTTACACTAACTTTGGCATACTCTATGAGAAGAATGATGCTCGATCATGCAATGGTCCGTAAGCTATCTGCCTGCGAGACAATGGGATCAGCAACCACAATCTGCACAGACAAAACTGGCACTCTCACCTTAAACCAGATGCAGGTACGTAACTCAAGGCAGATGCAGCCTAGTTTACTGGGTTCAACTTGAACCCACAAGTTCCAATATGGAGCATAAATATATGTTGAAAATTAGTTGTAAGCTTTCAACAAATATTAAATTCTAAACTTGCAATTTTAAAATTGCAATGAATTTAACAGTAAGAACTTGAACATAGAACTCATTAAATTTAAATTCTGAATTCATCTTCGCAGGTAACAGAATTTTTCCTAGGAACAGAAATGATTACGAGAACATCACAGCTAGCTACTGATGTTGTCCAATTGCTACAAGAGGCTGCTTTCTTGAATACTACTGGTGATGTTTATACAACACCTTCAGGCCCTCCAGAAATCTGTGGAGGCCCTACCGAGAAAGCGATTCTATCATGGGCCCTGACCAGTTTACTAGTGAACTTTAATGAATTAAAGCAAAAGTATCAAATCCTCCATGTCGAAGTTTTCAATTCACAAAAGAAAAGAAGTGGGGTACTAGTAACAAAAAATAGTACCGGAAAAGCTCACACACATTGGAAAGGTGCTGCTGAGATGATTCTAGCTATGTGCTCCACTTATTACGTCAAAAGTGGAATAATTGCACCTATAGATCATGAAGAAAGAAAAGAACTTGAGTTGAAAATTGAATATATGGCAAGCAAAAGCTTACGATGTATTGCATTTGCTTACAAAGAAAGAAATGCAGAAAATCAAGCTCTTGAAGAAACTGAACTAACCTTACTGGGTCTGGTGGGTCTAAAGGACCCATGTAGGCCTGGTGTTAAAGAGTCTGTAGAATCTTGCATGGATGCCGGTGTTAGCATCAAAATGATTACTGGGGACAATGTGTTTACAGCCAAATCAATAGCTTTTGAATGTGGAATACTCCAACCAGGTGAAGACTTGAACATTGCAGTTATAGAAGGACCGACATTCAGGAATTATTCACAAGAAGAGAGGATGGAGACTGTCGAAAAAATACGAGTGATGGCAAGATCTTCACCACTTGACAAGCTTTTGATGGTTGAATGCTTGAAGCAGAAAGGCCATGTTGTAGCAGTAACAGGCGATGGAACAAATGATGCTCCTGCACTAAAAGCAGCAGATATTGGACTTTCCATGGGGATCCAAGGCACAGAAGTCGCAAAGGAGAGCTCCGATATAGTTATCTTGGACGACAATTTCAATACAGTGGTCACAGTCTTGAAGTGGGGAAGGTGCGTGTATAATAACATTCAAAAGTTTATTCAGTTTCAACTCACAGTAAATGTTGCTGCCCTTGTTATCAACTTTGTTGCTGCTGCTTCATCTGGAGAAGTCCCTCTGACAGCAGTCCAACTTCTGTGGGTCAATCTCATAATGGATACTCTGGGGGCCTTAGCTTTGGCAACTGAGCGACCCAGTAGCGATCTAATGAACAAAAAACCAGTTGGACGAATTAAACCACTGATAACTGGAGTGATGTGGAGGAATCTCCTAGCTCAAGCCTTGTATCAGGTAACACTGTTATTGATCCTGCAGTTCAAAGGAAGTGCCATATTTCATGTGAATAAGAAGGTAAAAGACACTTTGATATTCAATACATTCGTTCTGTGTCAAGTTTTTAACGAGTTTAATGCAAGGAATTTGGAGAAGAAAAACATATTCCATGGAATACTGAAGAATAGACTATTTGTTGGGATAGTGGGAGTGACAATAGTTCTCCAGATAATTATGGTTGAGTTCCTGAGGAGGTTTGCTGATACTGAAAGGCTGAACTGGACGCAATGGGCTGCATGCATAGGGATTTCATCATTGTCATGGCCTATCGGTTGGATTGTAAAGTGCATTCCTGTATCCAACAAATGAAAATTTCGACCACTAATGCTGCAGCAAAAGACACAAGAATCTTTAAGTAGCTCCTCTTCTTATTTTTCTTTTCCTTTTTTCTCATCCAGTCTTTACATTATAATAGGTTAAATAGCTTGTCCTCTTTTTTTGTTTTTTAATTTATGCTTTTCTTTCTTCATTTCTCATTTTACTTCATTGCAACTTAAATTTATCCACATGCCAAGTTTCGGTAAAAGTGAAAAGATAGAAACTGTTAGGAAACTAATTACCAAATCTTCTCTTAAAATAAGACAAAAGATAACAGAAAATTTTCGTCCATTTAACAATTGGCTCTAGGGTCCACAATGTAAACTTTCCTAGGCCTACAAAAGTTTTTCCATGGATTAAATATACTAGGATCCAGAAGACTCTTGCTATCCAAAAGTTGACAAGAGTTTCTCAAAGTCAAAAACAACGAGGATATACTAATGCTTGTGGAGCACATCTGATTTTCCACAAGAGGTTTTATCTTTAAAATGAGACATCGCAGTAGTTGCTTCCTTAACTTTATGTAATATGGAAACTTAGCTAAAGGTAGTCAACAATCAAAGAGATCTTAGACAAAGAAAGTTCAATTTTGCAGTGATATAAGTAAATGTAGCACATAGAATTATAGGTATTCTATGATTGCATCGTGTTGTTGTAGCACTTCCTCCATCTCAGTCATCCTTCTTAATTTATTATTTTTTTTACTTTCAAAAAAAAATTATGAAGGTTGACTCATTAGATGGAGCAGCTCCTTCGAGAACACGATGTGATAGGCTACAACCAATGCACAAGATTTTGCACAAGTGGTGTCGGCGGCATACTATCAGAACTCAGCTTGTGTGTGGGTTTGGGTTGAAGTTCTTTATAATTTGTCTCAAATTGATACATTTGTTTTATTTTAAAGTGGTGTCAGCTTATAAAATATACACAGGGATTATTCCTAAAAATATAAATTATTTGCATATATACTTATTTGTGATTTTCCTCAAAAAAGTGTTGTCCCATGATAGCTCTAGTAGAAGTGTGCGTCTGCAATAGTCTATCAAGGTAAAAACAAGTTCTATGAGACGGTTATAACTTATGATACCAGCAATTCATCTACAAATAAATGTCAAAACCTCCAAGGCTCAACATATAAACAATATAAATCCAACACAATGTGAAAGTTAAGATAGAATTGTAGTCGTTCAAAATTAAACAATAGTAAGAGAAATCATCATGTCTGCCCAAGGTCATTGGTTGCTCACATGGATGCTTAAAAGATTAAGAGAAAATTGTCTAAGATGATTGTGTCACATCCGACATATGCTTCTTGTTAGGTGTGTATTATGATGATGGAATTTGCTAAACGAGACAAGGTAGTCTTTAACTCACAAAGATAGAACTTCTTAACAAACAATCTATGGAGAGCCACTTCTTTCTTTTATACCCCATTAGGTACAATCAAATGAGGAGACAGGGGTTAAGGAAGGTGAAAGTGTCGGGTGCCATACCCTCCGCCCCTGAATTTTCGGTGACACCACATAGAAAAAGGTTTCATAATCCAGATCTATTATCTTAAATCAATGTGTGCAGACTACCAATATTTCCATTATTACATTTTTTTTTGTTCATGGTAACAAGAGTAGAGTTAATACTCCCTTTTGTCCAATTTTAAGATCACAAGTTTCAAATTTCTATGCCAGAATGGGACAACTTCTTTTTCTTCGAATTATTCAAATTGAAGCTCTACATTAGTTATGATTTTGAAATTGAAACAAAGAGACCATGATTATTACTACTATTTTTAAATTTTTGTTTACCTTGAGTAACCCTAGATTAGAAAATGTTCATTTTCCTATTAGAAGCTCTTCTATCCATAAAATTGATCAACAGAACAAGCAATCAAACAAGTTGCATAGTATAGAATGAGTCGTACAGTGAAAATAGTAGTATATTGAATGAGTGGTTGAGAAGGATCATCACCTAGGGTTTCGAAAGGCGACAATTATATATGACTGACCCCATGCTTGCTCGCTCCAACATTGTGGGGACAAAGGAATAGAAAATTATGAATAGGGATTCTTTAAAGAGGGGACACAGTTTGTACGGAGTACACTTTGATTGAGATTTAACAATGGAGCACTGGTCCTGCTTATTGCAGAAAACTCCATTTTTTTCCTTTTTCTATTTTTTTCAGGTTCTAAAGAGGAAGAAGAAGAAACGTAGAATTATTTCATTACCATAAAAGAAGTTGTGAAATAATTTGTTCTCGATATTATACTCGACGCTCATTGTTATCTATCGTTTTACTATATTATATCTACTTGTTTGACGTTGAATAATATTATTTTAATTTATAAGTTTATTAAAATATTTATAATTATTTTAAGATAAGAGATTTAACTAGAATTTGTAATATATGATTAAAATAAATTAGTATTATAAAAAATTATGTAAGAATATAATTAGAAAACAATGGGAACAAACCAAATTGGTTGATCCATAAAATGAGAGTTTTCATTAATACATAACAACGAAATTTAATAATGCAATACAATACATTTTAAATAAGAATTAAAACAAAAATTATAAATATGATAACGATACGATACAATATAATATAATGGATAACAATATTTATATTTCGATTACTACTGTCATTCTTAATATAATATTTTTCATTTTATATCTGTAAAATCCAATTTTTATTTTTTCATACTATTAAAATTTTATGTGTACTCAATAGGAATTTGACTACTTGCATATATCAAAAACACTAAACATTAATTTTAGATTATATCATACAATACTTTTTGAGAGAGAAGTAATAAAGACATTTCCAAATTTGATGTGAATTATTAGTTTTATTCCTAAACTATTGACAATTTTAAAAACACTTATTTATTTGACTAATTAAACTTAGATACAACCGATCATGCAACATTACTTTTCGATTAAAATTTGTATTTTCTTTAAAAAGTTTTAATACAATTTTAGTATACCTTCTTCTTTCTCTAACAAAATGTATATTATGATACAATTAATGTTAAACCCTAAATAGAGTTCAACAGTTAATTGAACAAAAATTTTGCTAAGAATGAGTGAAGTAATGATAACTCAAAATATTTTTAATTTGAAAATAACTTAACTTCATAATAATGAAATAATTTTAGTCAAAACATTAACGACATTAGTTTATTATCATTAGATCCAATTTTGCTATAGATTTTAGGAACACTTACAAAGAGAGCTAATTGTCACTAAAAAAATATATTTAGTATCAATCAAATTATTATCGTTAATTAAATACCACTAAAATATTTTTTTAATATAGTGACCAGATGTCCAATAATACATTTAACTAAACAATATTTCGTCAAATATATAATGGTAAGTTGAAAAATATAGAGGAAAGAAATAATAATGTATGGTGAGGAAAGAAGTGGCAAACAAATTGTCCAAAAGAGTAATGTTGGGCCTACTTAAAGGGTAATTGTTTGATCATCACTTTATCAGACACTAATCATAATGGCAAAAATGTCAACAGAGACAAAATATAACAAAACATCTAGAAGAAATAAAATTTCCTAGCAAGACAATTGCTCAATAGCAATTTAAATAACTAAAATACCCTTCAAAATGCCAAGCAGACATATTGATACCAACATATTCACCGAGTCTTCTAATAACATAGTAGAATGATATAGACAAAAAATAAATATTGATATGTTGAACCTTGATACATAAGTTTTACGACAACTAATAATATTAATAACAATAATGGAAATATCATATATTATTTAAAAATTACCTAAAATATTGTTAGAGAAAAAAAAAATATAGATATTGAATCCGTGCCAGTACGGACACCTGTGTCATTTACATATTTCTTTTTCGAACAACCTATGACAGCTTAGTTTGAGAATTCCATTTTCTTTTCCCAACATGTTGCCACAATAATAACTCCAATACTCAATAGTGATGCAACAGCTCTAAGCACAAAACCACAATTGGATGCTTTATTGACCAAAAGTCCGACTTGAGTCTAACAATAGGAGCCACAGTATGATTACTCCACAAATAATAACTCTAAATTGAAAACAAAAACAAAAATGGAGAAGCTAATGTGATTTCCACTTTGACTGAGATAAAACGCTAGTAGACAGATCCTTTATTCAAATATATGGATTTAAGAGGGAAGAAGAGAAACAATATGCTCAAGCCTACACTTGTTGTAGCGCAACACTGATCATTTGGTTTGTGGTGGTGTAATGGAAAACTTATATGATGACTTATAAAGTGCCTCGCCAATTCTCTGCCCTGCCACTTCACTGACGGGCACTGCATCAGAAAGCTCTTTTATGTCTTCTTCTGTGAGCTTTACTCTCACGGAACCTATGTTATCATGAAGATTTTTTATCTTTGTTGTACCTATAATAACAGACAACAGACTAACTCAGTATTTATTCACAGCATCATGACTTTAAGAAATCAAAGCACAATTTGTAACAGCATCTAATTTCTTGAGGCAGAAACAGGAAATGTTGCACAGCTTTCTCTTTTAGATATTATAATGACATAGAGCCTTCGCCTCCAATTCTTCTGGTAAACAAAGTGCCAAGTGAGTGCTACTTTTAGTCCCCACAGATTGAGAACATTGCATTTCTTACCTATTTCAGCTGTTTTTTCTTATTTCTTTCAATACAAGTACTCTAAGATCATCTGTGAATTAGTGCAGCTACGCAAAGAGTTGCTTACCAGGAATAGGTACAATATCATTCCCTTGGTGAAGGACCCATGAAATAGCAAGTTGAGCTGGAGAGCATCCATGCTTCTTGGCTATTCCTCCCATACGAAAATATATAGATTTGTTCTTTTCAAAGTTCTCTCCTGTAAACCTAGGGTGTGTAGTCTGATAGAGCGTAAGCGAAACCAGAATCACAACAGCATGAAAAATGGATTTATTACAAAAAAGATATTAATAATAATAATGAAACATCAAAGAATTTAAAACTAAAATAGACAACTGTTTGTTTTCTTACCAAAAAGCTGTTGGCAGGCAAGCTTTCAACAACTGCTTTTCCAGCAAAAAGCCCACGTCCGACAGGGCTATATGGGACAATCCCAATTCCAAGCTCCCTAGTAGATAATGATGGAATGAGAGAATTGAAAAGTAAACTGAAAATTTCTCCAGACACTATCCAATTTAACTTTCTGCTTAGTGGTTAACTGGTTCATAATTCCAACTGGGGGAGGAAATAATATATTTTCATACAAAAGGAAACAAGAAAAATGATTAATAATTGTCCAGCAGGAATGTGCCTTTTTTCAGTTAGATATTGCTCCAAACTATACTAAATAGTAGAAAGTCCAAATGTGTGTGGAGTCCTTTCTTTGATTTCAAGGTTCTTTTCTTCTTTTTCAAAACGTGTAATAAAGTGAATAGAAACCTGCAAACTGGAATTATGTCATCCTCAATGTCACGCGTCCATAGAGAATACTCCTGCTGTACAGCAGTGATAGGATGAACTGCATGTGCTCTCCTTATCGTCTCCGGGTGAGCTTCAGACAGGCCAATATACTTTATTTTACCTTCTTCAACTAATTTTTTGAGTTCTACCATCTGTAATACAACTCACCACAATAAGAAATAGTAGAGATAGAAGAGCTTCACGGGAAAACTAAAAGCAAGAATCTCGATTAGCAATGCAGGCATTCCTACTCAAAGCAAATGAATATTATGAGGGCTAAGGGACCAAAATTGAACCATATATAGGCAGATCACTTACTGTTTCCTCAATGGGCACTTTTGTGTCTATACGGTGCACATAGTAGAGATCAATGTAGTCCACTTGTAGGCGTTTTAAGCTAGCTTCACAGCAGGAACGAACATATTCAGGAGTTCCTTTTACTGTAACCTTAGTTGGTTCAATCTTATATATACCGAACTTTGTCGCAAGCTGTATTGTTTCTCGAGGCAATTGCTTTAATGCCTGAAACAGTGAAAAACTTAGATGAATTACAGACTATTAAGGAAAATCAAGCAGCTCTTTTACTGACTGGTAGTGGGCTTCTGGCATTCCATTACCCAATTTAGTACATGAACCAAAGATAAAGAACATAGTCCAAATCTTTTTCCAGTCCAACATTGCCATTACACCTCATTTTTTTTTTGGCATTAACATTGGCCTTCCATTTTAATTTTCCGCCCACCTAAGATATGCTAGATGGAAAACAGAACTCTTCAACTCCGTGAATATTCTGTTGTGGAAAATATGACTTGAGCTAATACTTCTAGCAACAAGTTTGTAGAAACTTCTCTTTTTCAAATGCAACCAGTCAGTGATTAAAAGACTGAAAAGCAAAACAATTCAGTAGCCTGATAGGACATTTAACTGATGAAGCATGAGAAAAGTGGCAACACTCTCATCTTATAGCTGGACCAGCTTTTTCAGATTTTACCAAAAAGATCCACACCATGTGTTTCATAGAGACTCTAATTATGGAGGTGGCCAGTTCACAATTAAGAAAAAATGATTCTAGGTATTATCATACCACATCATTAATGTGTTCATCAGATGGTGTAATACCAGTAGCCTCAACAAGTGATATCTTATATGGACACAATAGCTGAAGTTGAATTGCTAACAAGTAACGAAAGGATTGCAATAAGATAATTTAAAACTAAACCTAGTGAAGATGAGAGGATTTCAAGTACTTTTCCCGTTCATTTCTCTTCCCCATCTCCACCCTTCTCTCTTTTTACCTGAAGGAGATAATTTTACATATGAACATCTATGGTTGATGCATACAAAAGTCAATTATATCTTACATGTTCACTGTATTATCATGTTAAGATCATTTGAGAATCATCAAGCTGGAAAAATATCTTACATGTTCACTGTTTTATCATGTTAAGATCATTTGAGAATCATCAAGCTGGAAAAATATCTTACATGTTCACTGTTTTATCATGTTAAGATCATTTGAGAATCATCAAGCTGGAAAATAAAGAAGACCATCTTGTACCCCCACTCATTTTGTTTTGTTTATACAACATTCCATGGAAAGTGTAATGGATGTTTCTGACAATAAAAATGCATCGTTTGATGTTCATGATTCATGCGAAACCAATTGTCTGTAATTACCTTTCCAACCAAGTATTCATTTGCATGATCCATCCCATAAACATCTGATGTGTCAAAAAATGTGACTCCTTTACTAAAAGCCTCCTTGATTATTGCAATCCCTTCCGCCTCATGAACAGGAGAATTATAGACTCCAGTGAGCCCCATACAGCCGAAACCTAACTTAGAGACCTAGAAACAAAGGTTCAACATGCAGTGAATGACCATTGCATCAAATTATATGAGCACTACCTTGCGAAATAAACAATTTTGCAGAAAAGGAAGTAACAGCTAAAAAGCAAAATACTACATCCATTTTGGGAAGCGTAGAGTGTCCTTATTAGTTCAGAGTAAAATTTATCTATTAAATTCACAGGAAGAAGTCCATGAAATTTAGCTTCTGATCTAAATTGCAAGTGATCACGATTTCCTTCAAACAACAAATCTAGCAACGGATCAGTCATTCAGAAGGACTCCATGGGCTTAGAATCCATGGCTTTCAGCTAAAATCATAAATAGTACACATACATATAAATACGCATATATATGCATAAAACAAGTAAAGAGAGGTGTTTTATAAGTATTTGAACTCATACTCCCAACCTATATCAGCAATGCTGAAATCTTGTATGGTACAATGGCAGGGTAGTTCTAATGTATAACTTATGGGTTCTACTAACCCAATCACTTCGGCTCGAACCCTTCATATGTGTTAAATAACAACATACCCATGCATTTCCACAAGTGGTGGTCTGGTGTGTACACGATCTTATCCTTCAGAATTCCCACAAATTAAGAACACTACTGTAAAAACCAGACGAAATCGAAGTACTCTAAAATTAAACCTACTTCCAATACAAAAAAGACACTATTGGAACTGACAAAATGCGACATTGTTCAAAAAATGTATGATATAGCTTGAAGTTTTTACCTCAAGCCCTTGACTTCCCAGCTTTACTCTAGGCATCTCAACTGCGTCCGCCATTGCTCAAATGGGAAAAATTCTCTGTTGACGGTTTTCTTCTCTTTTGGTACTAAAATTGAGTAAATTGTAGAGACTATATATATATATATATATTGTCGCCATTGACGTTTTTTCGCCCTATGAGGAGAGCGATTAGGTAAGCAGGGGTCTCTTGCGTCAACGATTACGTTAATCATCATATTATCATTTTATAAATTACTTATTACTTATTAGAAATAATTTCAGTAAATATTTCCTTATATTTTTAATCCAAAATTCAAATATAGTTCAATGTAAATTTGTTTTTAAATTTGACAGAAACATATGTGTTAAAGCTTAAAATTAAATCTATTCTAAAATATTCAGTTTTTGAAAAACCGATTTAACCTGATCCATTATACTCTCTCCGACTCATTTTATATGTATAAGATAATTGATCTATAATACTTGTCATTTCATAAAATGAATGCATAAATTATTATATTCTTCATTTTTTATATGTTTGTGGGTTATTAGTCTTGAAAATATAAATTTGACCAACTTAGAAAAGCTAAGTAAATAATTCATATTTATTGGTTAAAATTAATCAAGATAAATTAAGTCACATTTATTGATTGAAAACTTAAGTTCCAAAAAAATTAAATAAAGATAGAAGGATAAAATTATATTTGTTAATGTTCAAAGTAAAAATGTGACATATTAAACGAAACAGTGAGAATATTTTCTTTCTCTTTTTTTGAAGGCCTAAATTACCCCTATAATATTTAAATTGGTACAAATATACATACATCTTCCTTTCGGCTCCCAAATACTCTTGACGTCAATCTTTTGGCTAAAAAATATTCTTATTTTTAACAATCCATACTTATAATGTAAATGGAAGATAATATTATATCAAATCTTATATTTTAAAGATATTTTAGGTTCTTTTTCATTAAAATAATCTAAAATTACTTAATATATTGGGCTCATAGTTGGTTTGATTTTGAATCTTGTCCATCATTTCAAAAAATTTCATTGTTTGACAAAACAAGGGAGAAAAAAGGAGTAATTAATGGTGTCATTCATTACATCAGTATTAGTTTAATAAAAGATTATTTAATTAAGTAAATATATACTTATACTGTATTTTTCTTTTATGAGTTACCAAAATTCAAAGTAAAAAATAAAAATAACATTTTCTCCTATCCCCCTCTCTACCCACAACATCATTATAATAATACAAATTCAAAGAATATGAATATATCAAATTTATTTAAAGTTTGAATTAGTGATATCTTAATTAAGAATAAAAAAATTTATTTTAAAAAATAAACTGAGGGAATGAGCAAGACGCAAGACAATTGGATAACTTACTGAATATATATATTATATATATATATATATATATATTATCAATGAAAAACAATGGTATTTTTTTAGATGAACAGTAACAAAGGGGTAGTGTGATTTTTTGTTGTATCTCCAATTCTCCATTATGAGTGGAACTAAAATAATTTGGGGGTTGATTCAAAATAGGACAATAGTAACATATCAATATTAATAATTTTTTCAATATTATTTTAAGCGTAACAGGTCAAGACATGAATCATGCGTGAATTTTGTTATTTATTTGAGAAGGGCTTAAATTTTGATCAATTAGATTAGGTAACATAATAAATACATACTTAATGATTTTACTTTATGATCTTAGTATAGTATAAGTGTGTCTCAGGGATTTTGGACATAGGTCGAAGGGATACTCGTGCAATATCCCAAATTATATATATAACGTTGGATTGGTTTTGTCTCTGATTGATTTTTTTTAGTTGAAACCAGACCAACCCAACTATAGTCGGATTTTTTTTCCAACACCAAACTACTAATCAATTTTTCTTTTTCGATTCGATTTTGTACGCCCCTACTTTATGGACCAAGTCCAGACTTAGGCCTAACAATAGGGGCCAGTGTTTGATAACTCCGCAAGTAAAAACAGATGTAGCAAATATGATTTCCACTTTGACTGAGATAAGACACAAGCACGCACATCCTTCATTCAAATGTAACAATACAAAAAGAGAGGAATTATATGGCAGCAGATATTAAAAAGGAAAAAGAGAAACAAACAAGCTCAAGCCTGCACTTGCAATTGCGCACAAGATTGATCATTTGGTTTGTGGTGGTGTAATGGAAAACTTATATGATGACTTATAAAGTGCCTCGCCAATTCTCTGCCCTGCCACTTCACTGGCGGGCACTGCATCAGAAAGCTCGTTTACGTCTTCTTCTGTGAGTTTTACTCTCACGGAACCTATGTTATCGTGAAGATTTTTAATCTTTGTTGTACCTATAATAACAGACAACAGACTAACTCAGTATTCACAACATCATCATAGCACAACTGAGTGCTACAAGTACTCTAACATCATCATAGAACAACTGAGTGCTACAAGTACTCTAACATCATCATAGCACAACTGAGTGCTACAAGTACTCTAACATCATCTTTGTATTAGTGAAACTACGAGAAGAGTTAATGCTTACCAGGAATAGGTACAATATCATCCCCTTGGTGAAGGACCCATGAAATAGCAAGTTGTGCCGGAGAGCATCCATGCTTCTTGGCTACTCCTTCCATATGAAAATATATAGACTCGTTCTTTTCAAAGTTCTCTCCTGTAAACCTAGGTTGTGTAGTCTGATAAAGAGTAAACAAATCCAGAATCATAAGAGCATGAAAAATGGATTTAATAACAATGAAACGACGGTTTGTTTTCATACCAAAAAGCTGTTGGCAGGCAAGCTTTCAATAACTGCTTTTCCAGCAAATAGTCCGCGTCCAACAGGGCTATATGGAACAATCCCAATTCCAAGCTCCCTAGTAGATAATGAGAGAATTGAAAATTTCTCCAAACTATATACTAACGAGTAGAAAGTTTCAAATCTTTTCTTCTTTTTCAAAATGTGTAATGGAGTGTAGAGAAACCTGCAAACTGGAATTATGTCATCCTCCACGTCACGTGTCCATAGAGAATACTCCTGCTGTACAGCGGTGATAGGATGAACTGCATGTGCTCTCCTTATCGTCTCCGGGTGAGCTTCAGACAGGCCAATATACTTTATTTTACCTTCTTCAACTAATTTTTTAAGTTCTCCCATCTGTAACACACCTCACCACAATAAAAAAAATAGAAGTGATCCAATGGAAAAATAAAAAGCAAGATTCTTGATTACGAATGCAGGCATTCCTACTCAAGGCAAATGAAAATTATGAGGACTAAGAGACTGAAAAATAAAGGCAGATCACTTACTGTTTCCTCAATGGGCACTGTTGTGTCTATACGGTGCACATAGTAGAGATCAATGTAGTCCACTTGTAGGCACTTTAAGCTAGCTTCACAGCAGGAACGGACATATTCAGGAGTTCCTTTCACTGTAACCTTAGTTGGTTCAATCTTATAAATACCGAACTTTGTTGCAAGCTGTACTTTTTCTCAAGGCAATTGCTTTAATGCCTGAAACAGTGAAATTCTTGGTTTAACCACAAACTACTTAGAAAAAATCAAACAGCTATTTAACTGAATGGTAACGAGTCTTCTGGCATTCGGTTACCTCACATAGTACATGAGCCAAAGAAGAAGAACATAATTTAAATCGTTTTCTCAGTCCAACATTGCCATTATACACTCATTTTTCCGCATTAACATTTCCTTCCCATTTTCATTTTACTCCATATATTCTATTCAGGAATGTGACCTGAGTTAACAATTCTAGCAACAAGTTTGTAAAAACTATGAATGTTTCTGCTAAGAAAAATGCATCTTTTGATGATCATGATTCGTGCTACACCAATTGCTTGTAGTTTACCTTCCCGATCAAGTACTCATTTGCATGATCCGTGCCATAAACGTCTGATGAGTCAAAAAATGTGACTCCTTTACTAAAAGCCTCCTTGATTATTGCAATGCCTTCCTCCTCAGGAACAGGACTACTATAGGCTCCAGTGAGCCCCATACAGCCAAAACCTAATTTAGAGACCTACAAACAAAGGTTCAACATACTGTGAATGACCATTACATCAAAAATCATATGAACACTACTTCACGAAATAAACAATTTTGCAAAAAGGAAGTAACACAGATAAAAAGCAAATTACTGCATCCATTTTGGAAAGGGTAGAACATCCTTCTTTGTTCAGAGTAGAATTTATCCATTAAATTCACAGGGAAAAGTCCATGAGATCTAACTTACGATTAGAATTTTAAGTGGACGGGATTTTGTTTAAGCAACGGACTCCATGATTCAGAAGGATTCCATGGGTTTTGAGTCCAGTGGATTACATGGGCTGTTGTAGGATCTATAACTCGAAACCACAACATTCAAATCTTGAATTCACCTATGACCCGGTGACAAAAAACTATGTATATATATAACTTGTTGAATCCCCTTTAAGAAAACTTTTAGTTTAGCATTTTTTGAATTCCCTTGTTAGAATTTCAGGCTCCACACTAAATAATACCAGTTGAGATAACGAATGTTGATGCCTTTAAGAGCTCTGAGTAGCACCACTTTATCCAAAAATAGATACTCATACCATGCGATTAATACAATAACAAAATAACAAGACGAAGAGCCTGTTTTGATTGACCTTGGACTTATAAGCTAAAGCCATAAGAGCCTGCTTGGATTAGCACATTTTTAATTTACTCAAACACTCAATTAAAAAAAATGCTATAAGTTATTTTTAGGCTAAAAACACTTAAAATACGTCAACTCAGACAGACTCAAAATCAATTACTCTAAAATAAAAACCTACTTCCAATACAAAAAGACAGACTTAGAAGTGACAAATGTGATATCATCCAAAAAAAAAAGTATGATATAGCTTGAAGTTTTTACCTCAAGTCCTTGGCTTCCCAGCTTTACTCTAGGCATCTCCACTGCGTCCGCCATTGCTCAAATGGAAAAATCTCTTTTTCTTCTTTTCTGGGTATTAAAATTGAATAAATTTGTAGTGATTCTATGGTGATATATATATATATATAAATATAAATATATATATATATATATACTTCGTCATTAGTGATTTTTCCCCTGCATGAGGAGAGCGATTAGGTAAGCAGGGGGGTTGCGTCAACGATTACGTTGATCCTGGTCAACTTTGCAAAACGTCAAATTACGTTAATATATTTTATTAGAATAATTTACAATATTTTTTTTTCCAAATATGTGGAGCAGTCAAATAAAAATGTATGAAACTAAATAATTTATGTTTCCAAGTTCCAATTATACTTTCCATTCCCTTATACTTCAACCTAAATTTGTCCTTAATTTTTTGGGATTACTTTTAATATCACTTTTTTTCATTTAAGATATAATATTGCTCAACGATAATATTTTTCTTATTTATTCTTTTGTGACTATTATATTATACTTAATTTTATTATACAATTAAAGATCAAATATATATCCTTTTACCTCATCTTAAATTCACAAAACGCAAGTAATAATTAGTTGGATTGTCTATCTTAATTTAGGAATACATATTGTACCCATTTGAACTTAAATTGATGGCATTATAGTAAGCGTTAAAAAGCTACTTTTTAACACATGCAAAAAGTATAAAGTTTAAGCATGATAAAATATTCTTTAAGCATGAAAATTTCTTTCTTTTACAACTAACATATTTTTTTAAAAAAATAATAAGATTATATTTTTTATTAAATGAGTATGATGAATTAAATAAATCTATTATTATAAAATTGTAACTTTAATGGCATGACATGACATGACATATAAGAGAAACATAAACTTTTAAATGAAATAAAAATAATATTTAAATGTAAGAATAGTTAATGATCAAAAAACACATTTAAATCATCATATTTTTGTGAGTATCTATTCATCTAGGTGTGTTTCAAATACATAAATATAACGAAAAATGTGTTAAAACTCGCAAAAGAGTTACCGTTTAAATGTGTTTTTGACGGTAATCTCTCTTTAGATATATATTTGAATAGTTCATACTGAAACAATTGAGCAGGCCAACTAGCAAACCGAAGCCGGCAATGGCATCGCTTACATTCTAGAAGAAAAGACACAAATAGCACATACGATACTCATATTAAACTAACGATGAAAGCCATTTGCTTATTTCTTAGACAGTCACTATCCTTCATAAGCACAACATTATATTATACACTCATGACCTTAAATTTTTCATGCTTATTATTGTTTCACTACGACAACAACCACGCCTCAATTCGAAGCGAGTTTAGAAATTAGATATATGAATTCACACTGCTTCATTTGAACTCATTTCATTCTTTGTTGTTCTGGTACGTAGTTGAATCACAAGTAATCTTGCAAGGGACGCCCGTCACTAATGGGACTTCCCTCAAATCTATCACCAGATGAGGCAAGTCCGGGATGGATGAACAAAGGTGACAACGCGTGGCAGCTCACAGCTGCCACCCTAGTCGGGCTCCAGTGTGTGCCCGGCTTAGTCATTCTCTATGGTGGCATGGTGAAGAAGAAATGGGCAATTAATTCCGCGTTCATGGCACTCTATGCCTTTGCCTCCGTTCTCATATGTTGGGTTGGATGGGGCTACCGGATGTCATTCGGTGACAAGCTCGTGGCCTTCTGGGGAAAACCATCCGTCGCCTTGGACGAGAAGTACCTTCTTAGACAAGCATTTCTGGGATACCTCCCCACAGCAACAATGGTGTTTTTTCAGTTTGTTTTCGCAGCCATTACGCCAATCTTGATAGCTGGGGCGCTTCTGGGGAGGATGAATTTTATAGCTTGGATGTTGTTCGTACCTTTGTGGCATACTTTTTCGTATACCATTGGTGCATTTAGCATTTGGTGCCCAGATGGATGGCTGAACAAACTAGGAGTGATTGATTTTGCAGGAGGATTTGTTATTCATCTCTCTTCTGGTGTTGCTGGATTTACTGCAGCTTATTGGGTAAATTTCTTCTTTTTATTCTTCTTTCCCCAGTAGAGCACTGACTACATCCTAATCGCGCGCTACAGGGCCATGTGGGTTGGCATTACCAACAAGATTTTTTCCATACTAGGACTCAAACCCGAAAGCATGAAGCTAACACAAGACCCTTTTCCCTTCTGTACAACCATTAAAGTGGAATATTACTATTTCAACTCTCTCTAGATTTACTTTGAGGTGATCTTCTTGTCCTGATCATAACTTGGGAATGTTGCATGGCAATATTAATATTGACAGGTAGGTCCCAGGCTGGACAAAGACAGAGAGAGGTTTCCACCAAACAACATTCTCATGATGTTAGCCGGCGCCGGCCTTCTATGGATGGGTTGGACTGGATTCAATGGAGGAGCACCTTATACCGCCAGCACTGACGCCTCCTTAGCCATATTGAATACACATGTCTGCACCGCCACCAGCCTCCTTACTTGGCTGGTCCTAGACATTGCTGTTTCTGGCAAACCCTCTGTGGTCGGAGCTGTTAATGGGATGATCACCGGCCTTGTTTGCATCACCCCTGGTGCAGGTACGTTCTCATTTTGTGCGCTGACTGGGTATAAATTTCGACATGCTAGACTAACCAGTAGATTCTCTACCTACAGGAGTTGTTCAGAGTTGGGCGGCCATCCTGATGGGCTTAATTTCAGGAAGTGTTCCATGGTACACAATGACAATCCTTCACAAGAAGGTCAAGCTATTAAGGCATGTCGACGATACCTTATCTGTCTTCCATACCCATGCCCTAGCAGGAATTTTGGGCGGTATTCTCACTGGATTTTTCGCTGTGCCAAAGCTCTGTAGGCTATTTTACCTCGTACCTGAATGGGAAAGGTACATTGGCCTAGCCTATGGTTTACAGACAGGCCGAACCTTAGCTGGGCTACGGCAAATGGGAGCTCAACTAGCTGGTGTTGGATTCATAGTATGTCTAAATATTGTCATGACAAGCTTGGTCTGTCTGTTCATCAAGTTGATAGTGCCTCTTAGGTTGGACGAAGGGGTGTTGCAAATTGGAGATGACGCTATCCATGGAGAGGAAACATATGTATTATGGGATGATGAAGAGAAATATGAGAATACCCAGGTTAATTCTGCATATGATGCTGATGAATATCCATCAGTTGTTTCAAAGACACTGAGTGAACTCCAAATGGTATAAAAGTGTTCTCTATGGCTAGGTCACACAATACTTTGCTTCTAGCACGTGCAAAACTTCTATAACTTCAGTAGCTGAAGCATGTTTTGTAAAGAAAGTCTGGCTTTCTTAGCGGAAAGATGAGACTCAACTAGCTAATATTCAGTAGAACTACATGTTATTTTTCTTACAAAATATTGCAAGGACCATTTTACTCGCACATAATAGACAGGTGAAATCGAGACAGCAATGGAGAAATAATGCACAACCATAACATTGCAGTGACTATTGATCAATCATTTAAAAAAACCAAAATATGAAGTACAAATACACTCCTCAAAATATAAAAAGCTTGAACAAACAAAAGGGCCTTTTGTTAGACGCCATTCTAGAGAAAAAGTGTCCAATTAAAGAGATATGGGAACTTTCACCAAGCATTCACATCACACTTACAAATACTAATAGAGTTCCCTTGATCTCAAGTTATGGCAACTGGCAATAAATTCCACATCTCTATCAACTACAATTTTCACCATGTAAGAGAGTGTTAACAGCCATTATAAAAATACAAAAAAAACTACAAAGACATAAACAGAGGAAGAAAATAGATTTACTTGCGCTTCTTGGATTTTACAGGGGGCTGCTCGGGAATTTCACCATCATCTTCTGAGGAAAATTCTTCTGGTTCATCAGGGACTTCATTTGGAACATTATGCTTGGTGATATAGTCCTTCAGTATGGTCATGCTTTGCTCTTTCATAGATATCAGTTGCTCCGATAAAATCCCTTTACATGCCTCAACAGAGTATGCTTCTGATCCTAGGCGAAATGTTGCTTTAACTTGAGGAGGGGATAATGCATCTCGCATTTGAGCATCCATAGTCTCCTGCATAATTTCAGTCCTCGCCTCAATCCAGATTTTAGTGTCACCGATAAAAAGAAACAGATATTGTGTGTGATGTGAAAGTTAACCTTCAAGTGTACACCCAATAAAACACACAATGAAGATAGATTTTCAAGCATATGGACATATTGTACGTGCATGATTACCTTACATGAAACATTTGAGTGCTGAATCAATCTACATGGGGCATTCATTTTTAATCAAATGAGTAGAGCATATAAAGATATGCAGAAACAAAAAAACACCACAAAAATCGTTAGATGTGGTAGTACGTATTTCACATTCTTCATGTCACTGATACCAAATCCTTCTTGTGGTCTACTCTTTGACACATCGGCCAATCCCCGAGGATGGTCTTACTTTACAAATAAAGGAAGAAGAATAGCTAAAATATATTCTTCCGCTGTAAAGGACACTCATTTCTGATGGGCTATGGTAGGTCGAAGGTCCCAAACAAGATGATTTCACGTAACTCAATGGAATAAGAACTTCTTTTTGGTTCTGTAAACCAAAGGAACAAGAAGAACCATTTCCCAGCTTCTAAAAGTACCAAAATCATTTCCCCTTTTCTGCTCCTTTAAAAATAGGCAAGGTTCTGTCTTAACACAAGTCATAATCAAAGGGAACTCCAAACTGTCCGCTTGGCCATAAACTACAACTAGGCCAACCTACATACTGAATAGAATTTCTTCAAACATGCATATAAAGATTTACTTTTTCAAAAAGTTGCACACCAAGATTTGCTTCTCCCTATATTAAAATACATCGCAAATAGTTCAATGAGAAACCAGAAAAGCAAGCACTGGAAAACTGTTCCCCATACTGTCTCTGCACAATTGACAAGCAATGCACATTCTGTATGGAAAAAAGCATCCTATATAACATAAATATTGGAAAGATCAAACAAAATGTACTAAAAAAGAATAAATCTGTATGAAGTCTGTCTTTTTTATTTTATATATCATATATGTAGTAGCATTCTAGCAACCATTTTCTGAAAAAACATTTTTCTTGAGATAGGGTGTATCCGAAACAACCACAAAAGTAGGGTTAAGGTCCGTATACATCCCACTCTCTCCATACCCCAGTTGTAGAACTATACTGGATATGGTGTTGTTGTATCATATATGCAGTAGCACAGTGCTATGTGACGTCCCGCCATCCATTCAGGCAGAACGCCACCCAACCAGGCTGCCAGCAGCAGGCGCAAGGGGGCAGACTGCCCAAGCCGGCCAGCAGGCCAAGGGGCAAGCAGCAGTTGAAGAGGCAGCCGTTACAACAGTTTCAGCTGTTACGGCAGTTACAGCCGCTACAGCTGTTACAACAGGTAGTGGGGCGGCAGTTTCAAGCTTGGAGAGGCTTGTGCAGAACGTGGGGCAGACTAGGAGCACCTAGGAGTCCTTTTTGGAAGACTTAGAAGCTTGTCTTGTAGGCAGACTTAGGAACTTGCATAGTTAGTATTTATTTACTCTTAGGCATTAGAGTAGTATAAATAGTAGTTCATTTTACTTGTAAAGCATCCAATAATTTCAGCAAGTAATAGAAGTTTCTTCTTCCAAAATTCTGTCTACATCTTATTTTCTTAGCGATCCGAGTGAGAGGCTAACTTGAGTTTGCAAGAACGTGCAAGAATCGTGAGTAAACCGTCAAGTGCCGCACGGAACATTGTCCGAATCAAAAAGTCCGTGACAATTGGTATCAGAGCAGGTTCATCGTAAGAGAATGACGAACGAAGGAGACGGAAGCGGCGCTAGCAACACCCCCAACGTTCAGGTAGGAAAGAAGAACAAGAAAGGGAAGAAGCAGCAGAAGGGAAATGAACCCAGTCTGCCCAATCTGCCCGATCTTCCACCCACTGATCCTCCACCAACTAATCTTCCACTAGGCAGTCTTCCACCAGGCGGTCAGCCATCAGGCAGTCTTCCACCAGGCGGTCTTCCACCAAGCGATCTACCATCAAATGTTCCTCCACCAAGCGATGGACAAACATCTTTCCAGCATAATATTGTCGATGGAAGTGACGACGACGACAGCGAAGATACTATCGACGTCACTGTTGGACATGAATGGCTTGCAAGCATCGAGAGGGCAAGGCTAGCTATTGAGATTTTAGGTCAGCGCTTGAATGAGTTGGACAATGATGTCAAAGACCTTGAAGAGAACTCCCTTGAGGAAGTTGAAGCCATTCGGAAGGAGTTGGAGGTATGCAAGCGGTCTGAATTAGCGATGAAGGAAACCATTACTTCCTTGGAGTTCAGATTTTTGGACGCCCTAACGACGATCCAGACACTGAAGAACAAGGTTGAAGCCCTCGAAGAAGAGAGGGAGGTTGGAGCATCAACATCACTTGGCCAGGAAAGGGAGTCCAGAGTCTAGGTTCCCAAGCCACCAACATTCAAGGGTGTCCGCGACGCCCTAGAGGTAGGAAATTTCCTATGGCACTTGGAAAATTATTTCAGGTGTAATCGGGTCAGGAGCGATGCAAACAAGATCAACATTGCCGTGTTGTATCTTTCCGACGTAGCCATGTTATGGTGGAAACGCAAAGATGCCGAGATCAAGAGGGGCACACGCACCATCAATACATGGGAATAATTCCTTGAGGAATTCAAGAAAGCTTTCTTCCCCAACAATGCTGTTTACGAAATGAAACGCAAGCTCCGGGAGTTGAAGCAGACGGGAAGTATTATGGCCTATGTGAAAGAGTTCACAATTTTGACCCTTCAAATTCCCCAACTCACGGAAGATCACATGATGTTCACCTTCATGAACGGGCTGCAGAATTGGGCGAGGACCGAGTTAGAGCGGCGTCAAGTAAAAACCATTGATGAGGCCATCACTCAAGCCGAAACCTTGACAGATTTCAAACATGATCGTTTGGACAAGGCGAAGGGCAAGGAGGTAAGGGGCAGTCAAGCTAAAGGCGGGGGAGACCGTGGCCGAGGCAGAGAACAGTCGGCACATCCCAAGCAGCAAGACACGCCCAAGCCCGATGGCAAACGGTTTGAACGCCAGAAATACTCGGAGAGGCGGACGCAGTCCAGCAAAGGAGACGGGTGCTATATATGCGGCGGACCACACGGTTATGCCAGGTGCCCAGAGATGAAGAGCCTTAGTGCCATCGTCCGTGAGCGGAAAGAAAAGAAGGCACAAGACAAGGTGAAAACGGCAGACACCACTCAGTTGGGCATGGTTGGTATTTGTGGTGCCATAGCCAAACATGCCGACAACCCAGGGGATTTCAGTACGCAATACGTGGACATCTCCATCAATGGGCAACCAGTTCGGGCCATGGTAGATTCTGGGGCTGAAGCCAACATTATGACCAAGACGGCGGCAGAGAAATTGGGACTGAAAATTGTTCCAAGCAACAATCGCCTCAAGACGGTCAACGCCCCACCAACTCCCGTATGTGGAATTGCTCATGGGGTCAGCATCACTTTAGGATGGTGGAGAGGTAAGACAAATTTTACCGTAGCTCCTTTGGACATATCCGATGTTATTCTTGGACAGGAATTCTTTCAGCGTTGTCACACGATGATTGATCCCTACCTTCAACAACCCATGGTGATGGAGGGGGAAGGGTCTTGTATGGTGCCTCTTGTTAGGGTGCCGAAGAAAGACGGATATGCCCAATTGTTGGCCATACAGATTGTGAAGGGCCTGAAGAAAGGAGCACCAACCTTTTTAGCCACCATCGCATGTTCGGGTGAAGACCATGGTGCTATGGAGCCCTTGCCACCAATCATAGAGACTGTTTTGCAGGAAAACAGTGATGTGATGCCGGAGGAGCTGCCGAAAACTCTACCTCCAAGGCGCGAGGTAGACCACATGATCGAGTTGGAGGCGGGAGCCAAGCCACCTGCGCTTGCACCTTATCGCATGGCTCCGCCTGAGTTAGAGGAACTGAGGAAGCAGTTGAAAGAGCTCCTCGAAGCAGGTCACATTCGTCCATCCAAGGCACCCTATGGAGCGTCGGTGCTATTTCAAAAGAAGAAAGACAGGTCGATGCGTCTATGCATTGATTACAGGGCGCTCAACAAGATCACAATTCGGAACAAGTATCCAATCCCGCTGATCGCAGATTTGTTTGATCGTCTTGGAGAGGCCAAGTACTTCACCAAGATGGATCTCCGGAAAGGCTACTATCAAGTGCGCATTGTAGAGGGGGATGAGCCAAAGACAACATGTGTGACCAGGTATGGAGCATTCGAATGGTTGGTGATGCCCTTCGGCTTAACCAACGCACCTGCCACATTTTGCACGATTTTACATCCCTACTTGGACCAGTTCGTAGTAGTGTACTTAGATGACATAGTCGTCTATAGTAGCACTTTGCAGGAACATGTGGAGCACTTGAAGAAGGTCTTCAAAGTTTTGCGGGAGAATCAGCTTTATGTCAAGCGGGAGAAGTGCGAGTTCGCTCAACCAAAGATACATTTCTTGGGCCATGTGATCAGCCAAGGTGAACTTCGTATGGATGAGGCAAAGGTAAAGGCGATCCAAGATTGGGAAGCACCTACGAAAGTGACCGAGCTACGTTCTTTTCTTGGACTTGCTAATTATTATCGCAGGTTCATTAGCGGGTACTCCGCTATTGCTGCCCCACTAACCGAGCTGCTGAAGAAGAACAGGCCTTGGTTGTGGAGCGAGGAGTGCCAGGAAGCATTTGAAGGTCTTAAGGTTGCGGTTACTGAAGAACCAGTCTTGATGCTGCCTGATTTCACCAAGACCTTTGAGATCCATACGGATGCTTCTGATTTTGCCATTGGGGGAGTCTTGATTCAGGAGAAACACCCCATAGCATTTGAAAGCCGGAAGTTAAATGAAGCTGAACGACGGTACACGGTGCAGGAGAAGGAGATGACGGCCATTGTGCATTGTCTACGCACATGGAGGCACTATCTACTAGGCTCCAAATTTGTAGTGAAAACTGACAACGTTGCCACTAGCTATTTTCAATCACAGAAGAAGATCACACCAAAGCAGGCTCGTTGGCAGGATTTCTTGGCGGAATTTGACTACAACTTGGAGTACAAACCAGGAAGGGGCAATGTGGTAGCCGATGCATTGAGTAGAAAGAATGATCTAGCGGCCATCTCCTCAGTCCGTAGTGAATTCCAAAGCGCAATCAAAGATGGTATGCAACGCGATCCGGAAGCCAAGAAGATTATGCAGCTGGCTGCTCAAGGCCAAACCAAACGGTTTTGGGTAGTTGACGGGTTCTTGCTTACCATTGGCCGGAGAGTTTATGTACCAAAGTTCAGATTCATCAGGCGGCGTATTATCAAAGAGAGCCACGACACTCCGTCAGCTGGGCATCCGAGACAGAAGAGAACGAGGGCATTAGTGGAGGCCTTCTATTTCTGGCCACGAATGCGGGAAGAGATCGAGCAATATGTGCAGACTTGTCTTGTGTGCCAGCAAGACAAGGTAGAGCAAAGGCAACCTGGAGGGTTGTTGGAGCCATTACCCATAGCTGATCGTCCATGGGAGAGTATATATATGGATTTCATCACTTCTTTGCCGAGGTCAAACGGGTTTGGCACGATTATGGTCGTAGTGGATAGATTCTCCAAGTATGCGACTTTCATGCCTGCCACAGCCGGTTGCACTACTAAGGAAGCTGCACAATTGTTTTTCAAAAATGTTGTGAAGTATTAGGGGCTGCCGAGGTTCATCATTAGCGATCGGGATCCTCGTTTCACAGAGAACTTTTGGAGTGAACTCTTTGAAATTCTTGGCTCAAAACTTCACTTCTCCACCAGTTTCCACCCCCAAACTGATGGCCAAACTGAACGCGTCAACGCCTCGTTGGAATGCTATCTTAGGCACTATGTAAGTGCACATCAGAAAGATTGGGCTAAGCTCCTAGACATGGCGCAATTTTCTTATAATTTGCAGAGGAGTGAATCTACAGGGCGCACACCGTTCGAGTTAGCAACAGGCCAGCAACCCCAAACTCCACACTCACTGCCAACCTTGTTCGAGGGGAAGAGTTTGGGCGCTTACAATCTTGCCAAGGGTTGGAAAGAACAACTCGACCTTGCCAAATCTTATTTGAGCAAGGCGGCAAGGAGGATGAAGAAGTTCGCCGACCGCAAGCGTCGTCCCACCAACTACAAAGAAGGTGATATGGTTTTGGTAAAGTTTAATCCGAGGCAGTTTAAAGCACGTAGAGGCGTACATCACAACTTGGTGCGGAAATATGTGGGTCCGTTCAAAATTGTTGCCAAGGTGGGTAAAATTTCATACAAGTTGGAGTTACCTCCACACTTAAGGATCCACCCGGTCTTTCATGCAAGCGTTCTTAAGCCTTATCATGAGGATAAGGACGATCCCAGCCGGAACAAATCACAACGGGCCCCTATCACCGTTACTGCCTTGCATGATCGAGAAATTGAAACTATCATAGATTACCAAGCCAAGCGGAAACGAGGACAGCAGGCTAGTGTCATGTTTCTCGTACATTGGAAGGGACAAACTCCGGAAGAAGCCACTTGAGAGAAGTACGAAGACTTGTGGCAGTTCAAAAACAAAATTCAGGAGTTCTTGCAGCAACGCATCGCGGTCGTCGCATCATTGGGTGGGGGAGATTGTGACGTCCCGCCATCCATTCAGGCAGAATGCCACCCAACCAGGCTGCCAGCAGCAGGCGCAAGGGGGCAGACTGCCCAAGCCGGCCAGCAGGCCAAGGGGCAAGCAGCAGTTGAAGAGGCAGCCGTTACAACAGTTTCAGCTGTTACGGCAGTTACAGCCGTTACAGCTGTTACAACAGGTAGTGGGGCGGCAGTTTCAAGCTTGGAGAGGCTTGTGCAGAACGTGGGGCAGACTAGGAGCACCTAGGAGTCCTTTTTGGAAGACTTAGAAGCTTTCTTGTAGGCATAGACTTAGGAACTTGCATAGTTAGTATTTATTTACTTTTAGGCATTAGAGTAGTATAAATAGTAGTTCATTTTACTTGTAAAGCATCCAATAATTTCAGCAAGTAATAGAAGTTCCTTCTTCCAAAATTCTGTCTACTTCTTATTTTCTTAGCGATCCGAGTGAGAGGCTAACTTGAGTTTGCAAGAACGTGCAAGAATCGTGAGTAAACCGTCAAGTGCCGCACGGAACATTGTCCGAATCAAAAAGTCCGTGACAGCTATCTATACTACCCAATAAAAGCCTAAGACGGAAATTTCACTACAGCACCAAGAGCCACTTCGACTTCAACTAGTAAATTTAATTACTTCAAGAACCGTATATTACTAGCGCAAGAATCTTCCACTCGATATACTACCAAAGAGTTTCCGATAAAGGATTAGCAAGAAGTAAATATACCTAAGTCATATACATGAAAAAATTATTACAGATTGAGCCTAAAATCAAATTCTAATACTTACATATTTCGCTTTTCGAGCGTCAAATGAAAAAACAATTACTGATTCAACCTAAAATCATATCCTACTCTCACCGTTTCAATATACTTGTTCTATTTCGCTTCTTGAGAGTCAAACTAACTGAAAATATCAAAAACTTACCTGATTGAGCGGAGCGTTGGGAGCTACAGAGACGGCTGAGGAGAATAATATACGGTTAAGCGAGCAGCTAGTTGAGTTAGGGTTTTTGAGGGAATTTATAATTTGGGGTTTTTTGGAGGGAAGCCCTACCAATTTTTCCTCAACGCTACAAACTTCAATATTTTGATATTCTTGCTAACATATAGTTATTCATGCAAATATTTTGCAAAGTTACTTGTTGCTCTTTTGCACTATGATCATCAAATAAATCTAAAGAGGAGGAATTTTCATTATTATGATTATTCATTTTAGAATACAAATAAGTATAATTTAGATTTTGAATTGGGTTGTAAGTTTGGAGTTACGGTTAAAAAATAATTACCTTAAAAAGATAAATTTGAGATAAGGATGAAATCTATCTAATGGTTAAGATTTAGGATGAAAATCATCTTATGATTCAGATTAAGATAAAATTTACCTTACTATTTGATGTTTTATTAAAGATAAATTTAAAATAAGAATTTTATTATTTCAATTGTAAAATAAATTAATCTAATGTGTAAATAGTTATGTCATATCTAATATGATTTTATTCATATATCAAAATAGCGTTCAAAAAAGTGTCAAGTTGAAACACCAAAATATGAAATATAACTTCCAAAAAATGTATATGTAAAATCCATCAAATTTACCTATATTAATGGTCATCCAAAATTAGCCTACTTAATTGGGTCAAAATATCTTTATTTCATAAAAACTTAACGAGAAAAATAATTAGAGTGTGTTTGGATAGACTTTTAAGTAAAGAAAATAATGAATAGTTGATATATATATATTTTTTTAAAAAAAAATTAAATATATAAGTGTATTTCAGATAAATGATTTTTTTCTGTACAATTTCATTAAATTTAGTGATTTTATTTATATAAAATTAACATAGATAATTTAATTACATAATTTTGTAATTAAATGACCATATGAGAATTTTACTTGTATTTTGAATTTAAGAATTGAAAATCTTATTGGATTTTAATTTGAAGTAATTTTATAGAATGACAAATTAATAATATAAAATAAATAAGTTACCTTTTGATTTATTTGTGTTCCATAGCAAACTGTTTGTCAGTCCCTCTGCCCCTTTTATTCTTGCTCGCTACTCTCCCTTTCTCACTCTCTTCCTGTCGCTTGCCTCTCTCGCTTTATACAATAGAATTGTATATATTGTGTTTCTAATTGTATAAAGCGAAAAAAATTTGTATAAACGCATGCAAATGCATATATCTTCGTCCTATAAACTTATAATTATACAATACTAATATCTCCCTGTCCGCGTCTCTTTTGCCTTTCTCGTTTTATACAAATTCAAATTGTATATAATTTCTCTCTTTCTCGTTTTATACAATTCAATTCGATCGTATATTCCCTGCATAGGTCTCTTTTTGGTTTTCTCTCTTTCTGGTTTTATACAGTTCAATTTTGTCTTTCTCGTTTTTATACAATTCAAATTGTATATAATTTTTCTCTTTCTCGTTTATACGATTCACTTCAATTGTATATGTATAGCGAATTATACATATATACGTTTGCTATGAAGCGCAGTTATGCAAACTTTGTTATACCATACAAATATGAATTTTATGTTTGTTATATGTGAAAGTTGCCCTTTTAATTTAGTTGGCTTCCTCCATTATAGCTCTGTTAGTATGTAAAGGCGCATAATTTTTTCGGACACCAACCTACTAGTTATATGTATTAAATGAGTAAATTTTAGATTAATAAACATACACAGATATATTAGCGCTCTATAGTTATAATTTTGTTGTTTGATCTATAGCAAATATTGTTTGTTATAGAGCATTTCATTTGTATAAATCCCAGGCAAACAACTCATTTGCATAAAAAACGCAACAATTATAAATGTATGTCGTTTAGATAATTTGTATATATATGCAACTAATGTATATCTATCACTGATTGTGTTTGTATATTTGCATAAAATTTGAATATGTATACAATTAATCGAATTAAGACATTTGTATATAATTTTTGTTTAAAACGAAAAAAAGAAAAAGACAAAAGAGAACTTGACAAATGAAATTTTGTATTGTATAATTATAAATGTATACGACGAAGAGTTAGGTAGTTGTATATGTATATACAATTTTCTCTCACTTTATATAAATACAAACACAATTTGTATATTTGTGTTTGTATAAAAAGAGAGAGGCGAAAGAGAATGGCGCGCGAGAATTGTTTGCTATGGATTAGGATAAAATGAAATTGTGGTATTATCATTAATTTTGAATTTTATACTATAATTTCGCTTGAATATATACTATTATGTATGTTTAGAGTCTGTTAAATTAATTAATTATAATTAACTGATAAGTTTAAGTGTTGGAAAAATATTTTATAGTGTTAAAATTAATTTTATAAATAAATAACTATGTATTTAAATAAAAGCATTGAAATTGATGATAAATTAGGATGATCTGGATTTTCTTTTTAGCAAGCTAAGTATATTTGTTAGATTGATTAAAAATAGAAAAAATTACATGAATTAATACATTTAAAAAAATAATTAATGATTTTAACGATACTTTTTTGTTTATTATCATTTATATTAATATTGTGATAAATCTGTAATATGTATTAAAAATGAATTATTTATGCAATATATTTGAATTATAATTATTTTTGAAATATATTGTGTTTGTTTGGTAAAAAATAATCACATTGTATTATAAGTGTATTAAAATGTGTGATAAATGTATTATCCATCATTAAAACTTGCATTATATGTGAATAATAAATTGTTTTTTGTAATATGTATTAAATTTATATTATAAATAATTTAAAAGTGATAGTATGAAAAAAAAAATTACATGATAAATATTTTTTTATTATAACCCATTTACTTTAAGTTTTCCATTAAAATACACTTACAATTTTATTTAGAAACAGATGTATAAAGGAGAAAAAAATAAGAATACAGAGTGAAGAAGAAGTGAAAATTTATTTTGATTAAGATATTTTGGACATCAAAAAGAAGTTAATTAAAAATAATAGTACTTAGTCAAACTTGGAAAAAAAGTCATAAGCCTATTTGCCTTAAAGTCAAACAACGGTACGTTACTACGCGTTTTCGTTTCTTATACTCTCCGCCAATTCAAGACTTCCCTTCTCACATTAAGAGGAAAATGTCGGACGGAGGATTGACGATTTTGGACGGAACACAGCTCAGAGCCGTTGATCTATCGTTACCGTCGACGGTCGACAGTTCAGTCACCGGTGCTCAGCTTCTTGATGTCGCAGAATCTAAAGTTTCAGAATCACTCTTCGGCTTCTCATTGCCGGACACGCTCAAGTCCGCCGCTCTTAAACGCATCGGCGTCTCCGATGACCTTGAATTCCGCCGTGAAAATCTCGATCGTGAAAACGCCTTGTCTGTGCTTCGGAAATACGTCGACGCTATTGCGAATGAACTCCAAGGTGAGTGTGTTGACTTGTTCAGAAGTACTCATATAATGTACTAGCATGAAATTATTGGTAATTTAGTGGAAGATCGAACTACCGGGGAGAATAATTTAGATGCTTGTTGTATTTGTCAAATCGGAATCTCAGTGACTCCGTCCGTTACATAATTTTTAGGTCATTTTCACTTTAGTTGAAGAAAGCATGTTTTTATTCTACTGTGCGTTTCTTTTATATATGTCAAAATTTATATGTTTTCGTTGAAATTCGAAACTTATTGATCAGATTTTTAAGAAAGAAATACTAATAATTGTTGAATGTCATTGCTCGGGTTCAATGTACCAGTCAAGGTGAAGTGGACATACATTAGTACATTTGTCTCGATAAAAAATAGAGTAATAGAATTTGTGAACCTTTTTTTGGCAATGAATTTATGACTAGAAAGTGAAATATGACAATTTTTTGGTTCCGCGTCTGTAGCTAGTTTCAAGTATGATGGATAAGGAATCTGACGAGAAATGTTTTATGTAATTACTAATTACGCGTGATTGAAGATCAAGTATCACATTTTAAAGATGCACAATGAGGATGACATTGAAGAGGAGATATTGTTGGTTTTGCTTGACCAATAAGATGATCAGATTAATTATCAACAATTTCTTAGATATGGAAATTTTAGGTGATACTGGCATTTGGATAGCTCTTAATCATTCTTCATGCATGTTTTCTTTGTAACAGTTGCGGTGAGGGGGCACTTTGTGCCTTGGTCTATAATTAATTTGCTTGTTTCTTGTAAGTTGTATGAACTCAGGTTACTCTACTATTCAGTCTATTCACTTATTGAGACACAAATTATGAAGTCTTACTCTACTCACCAAAACCTTGGCCTCAGCGGAGAATCTTCTTTTGCCTTGTTTAACTCTATTTATAATTTAAGGGGGAAAGAAATAATTATGTAAATATATGGGTATCCAAATGTAAGATTTGAGAATCTCAAGTTTTTTGGAACTCCTAAGTATTGGAATGATATGCGCTTTAACAGATGATTCATATAGTCATCCCCAGCTAGTTTGCGATTGAGATGTTGTTGATTGGTATTTTACTAGTTAAGGTGAGATAGGAAATCCGAAACCAAGTGATAATAAGCTCAATTGATGTAGAGTACAAGATGCCTTAGATATCACTCTTTGATATTCCAAATCTCACTGAAGACAGATTGATCAGATGTCTTGTGTTACATAGTTCTAAAAAATTGATTTTGATGCATCCAAATTCCCAAGATGCGCCAAGAGTCTAAGACTACCTAAACTTCTAAATGGACTGGAAAGTAACCTTTCAAGTAGTTGCAATTTAGAAAGCTGCTTCCTATGGAGAGCTAAGTCAAGTAACTGTTAAAAGAACTAAGTAGTTCTTTTTGAACTAAACATTGCCATTCTTTATTTTAGGATGAAGTTGAACTAAACATCGCAATTCTTTTATTTTTGGATGAGGTTGAACTAAACATTGCAATCTCAGAAAGAGGATAATGTCTTGAATGGCCTTGCAATTTATGGAAAATTAAGATGCTCAAACCTTGACTATATGAAATGCTCTTCTCTGAATTGGCTATGTATGTCATTGCCTCGTTGCTGTCCTTTTGTATGCTTCTATGCTGGATTGGATATTTAAGTGCCAGACATGTCTCTCTGTTCATTGGATCAGTGATCCAATTTTATTTGATGAAGTGAAAAAACATACTGA